TATAAATGTTTTTCATTTAAGGAAATGCATTTTGAGTCTCAAATTTCCTGAATTTGGATGGAAGTTGGATGAAATCTAATAAAACGAGATAATGGGCCTGAAATGTTTAATTAAGAGGAAATTACATCCTATACTTCCTCTTCCCTAAGATATTATGAATATACTGCCATTAGTTAAATAATTATACAATCACCAAAAATATCATAAAATATTACTAATTTACCTAAACTAATGGTGTTGCAGTTATTTTCCGATAATTAATGAATATTACACCGATAAGGACGTTTCCTTTTATCTTGCCACAATTGGGGAAAAGAAAATATTTTGCAGAGGAAAAAAAAAAAACTCCCGTCTATGGCGATAACCAAAATCGCCCGCCAGAATCGAAGAAAAAAGGCGAACGACGGCAAAGAAACACCACAGATAAGGTCAAGTTCCCGGCTTCAGAATATCATTTCAAAATCAAAGCCCAAACTCGTTCAGAAAAAGCTTGTTTTTGAGAAAAAAACGAACCCTAACCCTAGTCGCAAGTCCACCACCAACGCAAGTATGAAGAATCAAGTTCCATCCTCTGATTCAGACGACTTCCAGTCCGACCACGGCCGTAAAAATCCCAAAAACATACGGCGGTACTCTAAATCCAAAATCCCCAATCCCACTGAGAAGGGTAATTCTTCCAACTCCGATTTTGAAGATGAAATTCAACCAGAAGACGTCACTAGTGAAGAATACTCGAGGGAAGAGGAATCCCCGGTGGAAAATTTCAACAAAAGAAACAAAAAAAGGATTCAAAATGAGAAAGGGGAAGTAAATATGAACAAGAAAAGGAGAAAACCGAACCCAGGCGTGAAACGCATTCAGAAGCAGATAGTGTTTAAGGTAATTTTTTTTCATTGTCATCACACTGGTCGTTGAATAAATAATCCTGTCTTTGTAGCCCTAATTTGATGATTTTTTTATGTTTTTGACTTTTTTTTTTATAATTTTGTCATGTTTTTGTCACACTGTTAGATGAAAATGACTAGTGTGTGTTTTTTTCATTTTATTCAGTGTGCTGATCTGTTCAATCTTTCAGTTATAATTTTATAATTCCATTGCTGCTCCTTTTTTTAAGTCATTACATGATATGAGTTTTGACAATTATGTGGTATATGTACATAAGACATACAACAAACATATACTCTATGTAGTGTATATATCTGATTAATATATTAATCATTCTTGGAAACTGTTAAGCAGACGATGAATGTATGATTATCTGCAAAACAGAGTATATATCTGTTATATGTATGTGTTCCCATTTTTTCCATATTCAATTTCATCCTCTTTCTCCCAAGAATGAACCTTGATAATTTCAGAGGACATAAAAAACTCATAAGCAGAATAGGGTTGGCTTATTATATGTCAAGTATATGGAATTTGTTTTTTGGACAAGTATGTTGTATATTTGTCACAGACATATACATTATATATACTCACTTAAGTGTAAAACATAATTAGACATATGCTATTAATCTGTGGAACAGTTTTTTGAACAATATGATCAGTATATGTTAGTATTCTACATTATCGTGTATAAAAAAATCTATATTTATTTGTTTTCATTATTTTTTCAGGAGTGGGAATTGCTGATCCCTTATCCAAGGGATATAAATGTGAAGGTGCAAAACAGTAACGACAACAGCAAAGAGAAATGCACGATAAGTGACATCAAGAAAACGTTGACGAAGGAGCAATTGGAAGCTTTTAGAATGTCAGCTTTTGGGAAGTTCCTTGATCTGCCACATTGCATTGTCCAGAACCAGCTGGTAAACTACATACTTCTACGCGAGGTTCACCAAGGTAGGACAGATGAGATCTGGTTTGACTTTGGAGGGAAATTCCTCCGATTTGGTATAGAGGAATTTGCTGTCGTGACTGGGTTAAAGTGCAATGAACTTAGTAAGAAACTGAACATTCCAAAGATTGCCAATGGTCTGCATGACAAGTATTTTGCTGGTCTTGAATTAACTCGGAGCCACATCAGATGGCAGTTTCTGAAAAAGTTGTGGGCGAGCGATGAAGATGCTGTGAAATTTGCTAAGTTGCATTTCTTAGCAAATTTCCTCATGGGCTCTCAAGATGCCCTTCGCATAGACCGTTGTTTCGTTGACATGATTGACAGCCCAGAGTGTGATGATTACTCGTGGGGAACTGCTGTTTTTCAATTCACTCTACTGTACCTGAAGAAATCAATTCAAACTAGAGAGCAGATGCACATGTCTGACAACGATGAGGGAAGCAACCTGTATCAGTTATATGGTCTTATATTGGCTCTCCAGACATGGTTTTACGAGGTATGTGAAACGGCTGATGGTGTAGTCGCAACCAACATGGGTGTACACGATATCCCGAGGATAATCAAGTGGGAAGTTCGTGAACCTTGTACGCGTAGTTTTGTACAGAGAACCTTTTCTAACCTTGATCACACTAAGGTAAATAATAATGTTTTATTTTTATTATTTTTTTTTATATATATCTGCTGGAATAATACATTTTTTCTTTTTGCTTCCAACAGTTCAATAACATAGTTCCTCCCGAGGCCGAAAAACAAAACCTGTTGTTGGAATCATTCTTCACAAAAAGAAATGAGTTCACCCGAAAAACTACTCCATCAAGTTCCGCACCGCAACATACCAATGAAGATTATGTTATAACCCGCCTCGACAATCTAACTGCTGAAGTCCAGACCCTGAAGGAAGCATTCAATGACTTCTCGAGACGGGTTTTCGAGGAATTTGCTTTGTTTAAAGAAAAATTCTTAGTAAGTCATTATTTTCCTTTTTTCTTTATTTTTTTTTAAACTATATTTGTGCTGCTAATCTACTATATTTGTGGTTATATACACTTAAGTATTTTCATTGCTTCTTTTGACATGGTCAGATTATATGTTTTTTATATAGAGCCCCACTGGTCCCCTGTTCATGTGGAAGTTCCTTTTAATATTATCAAAGATATATTTAGGTATATCAAAACTATATTCTAGGATATTTTCTTGCCAAGACCCATTTTTGTCCCATGTTTCTGTGCAAGTCCCTAATAATATTCTAGTATATCTAAGTTATATATTCCTGTGCACATACCTATTTTTTTACAGTGCAAGCATGTTATGAGTTTTTTGTTATAGTCGGTCATCAGATAATATGTCGTCATATATACCATATATACAAACATCAGAGATGTTCTTTTTATTTTAAAGTATATGTTTAAACTGATTACATGTTCCTTGACAACTTAGGGTGTTTCAAGTGAAGAGGAACATGTCGTCAAAGGGAACATGAGTGAAGATCTTCGTGGAAGTGGAATGCCAGATGATATTATCCACAAATCAGCTGGAAAAGAGACGGTTTTTTATAATCTATTACATATTTGATTGTGAACAAATATATTAAAAATTATATTTAAAATAAGCATATACCACATTATGTAATATTTTTTTTTCTTTTATATGTCTGTAGCATTTTCACAAGCCATCTAATGTGAATGTTCAGACAACAAATGAGGTTTTTTCAGTTTTTTGTTTTTCTTTTTTACTATATCATTATAGTAAAACATCTTGTTCTCTTTTTACCATGTAAATCTCACATTTTTTTTTTTTTTGGTTTTTCTAAATGCAGATCGCTGTCACCTGTAAGAGCATTTAGGACCAAAGCCGAAGCACTCATGAAGAGTGCAGCAGACAGAGTAAGCATATCTTGCCACAATATATATCCATTTTTTGTTCTGTCCCGTATCAATAAAAATCTCAAAAATATATTGGTTTTTTTGGTATAGTTTGTACCGGTCCAAAACCCCCCTTACCCTGATTTACAGCAACCAAACCCTCATATCCAGCCACTCATTCCTGATATCCATTCACCCAACCATGATATCCCCCCACTCAACCATGATATCCATCTACCCAATCCTCACATCCATCTACCCAGCAGCCCCATCGACGACGATGACAATTTCCTCTTGATCAACACCCAGTTCATTGAGGAGGTTGACAAGACTGTCCAACAAAAATTAAATAAAGTGCCAGAGGTCAAAGAACCGGTAACCACATATCTTTGTATTCAAATGTATATGTTAGTTATATACATATGTACAGTATTGCAGATTTTGTTTTTCATATATGTTCGATTTAATTCAATTGCTTGTGTATATTACATACATATATGCAGAGAGGGTTCAGTTATGAGCCACACCCCATATTCGGTTATGCATTGAATGGATCTCAGCCTTCGTTTGACGCTATAATTGTTGTTCTACCTCCAACGCCACCATCGAAGAAGACTATCCCAGAACAGGCTAACAATGTAAGTCTCACCACTTCAATTTTGTTTTTTATCTTTAATATAATTTTGTTTAACAATAATTATTTTTTTTTATACAATTTTTTTATCACTATATTTCAGTCTGTCGAGAAGAATGAGACGGTAAAAGGAGTGAACACACAGCTAATCAAGCAACAACAGCAGCTCCCGTTAGTTGTGTACAGTCCGAAGAAAGACGAAGTGAGGCGAACCAAGAAGCCTAAGAAAACAATGGCGACCAAAATTTCCACCAAGAAACAAATAAGACTTCAGAAGTCTTGCCCATTCGATGTGGGGTTTGACATAAATGTTTCTGGGGCAGTGGACATGAATGAATTTAGAGACTGGATTTGTGAGGGTTTGCTCAAGTCGGCTCCTCGCAAAGTCGAAAACGGGTACTACTGATTTTTTTTGGCTAGTTATATAATAAGTTCAGTATACATCAAATATAATAAAAAATAACAAAAAATATTAATATCATCTACTGTAGATATGTCGTACCTATAACTTATAAATTGTCTCTACTTTTTTTGTAGTTTGAATTACTACAAGGTCAGGAGCAAAACTTTGCCGTCTCCTTTTCATTTTAACGTTGTTTCAGTTACTGACAAGAACTGGTTTTACCACATATTCGAGATAGGATGCTTCCTTGACTGCAGCGTAAGTAGCATTTGTGTACAACACTTATTTATATTTTACTTGTTATATATATCTACTTATTTTTTCTTACAGTTGATCACTTTTTTGTTTGGTGTTATATTATAGTATATAGATATTTAATTTTTTTAAGTTTATACTTATGTGTTGCTTACGTGTGAAATTTGTTTTATATTTGTTTTCTTCAGCACATGGATGTCTTATTCTACTATCTGAGGAAAATTGGATTTTATGCTAAATCTTCCCCAGTCAGGTATGCAACGACTGATGTGTTGTTTGACCAACACATTAAGTCGTTGTACGCATTGTATGTGTCCCAATCTCGTAACAAGTCTGTATGCAATGTAGACGATATGATAATTGACTACATATTGGGATATAAGATTATATGCGGTGTTTCTTGGGCCAAGGTTGATCACGTCATGTTCCCGATGCATTTGGAAATAAACGGTGTGGGTCATTGGATTTTGGGGCGTTTATCTCTTGCTGACATGAAACTGCATATCTACAATTCAATTCGCACAGTAGACTGCGATGATCTTGTTATCGAGAATGTGAAGGCTTACGTCGAGATTCTCCCCATTTTCCTTCGCTTGGTGAATCTTTTGAGTACTGGTGAGGCTGACAAAGTCACTGTTGAGGTGGTTATGGTTGACAATCTCCCACAGCAGAACAACAGGTATTATATAACATTTTTCCAGATTTGAAATTGGTAGTAACCTGTAACAATAAATATAAACTATAACAATTACAGTTATTATTATTATTATTATTATTATTATTATTATTATTATTATTATTATTATTATTATTATTATTATTTTCTTATTGTTTATTTTTTTTTTCATTGTCAACAGTGATTGTGGGGTATTCGTTGCGTCGTATGCCGAACATTTCATTTCAGGTTACGAGATTACCAAGGAGAAGTTTGATGTCACTTCGTTTAGGGAGAGATACGCATATTTGCTGTATAATCATGGTCGAATGAAACAAATGAATGGATACGACAGTGATGATGAATACCCTGGCAGTGCCCCCGATGAAGTTAGGTTTAGTCTTATGAATGTGGGAAAAACATCGTAGACATTTTTATTTAATTGTTTGATGATTTATTTTTCTTATGGATGTAATTGAATTTGGGAAAACATTGAACTTTTGTATGTTTTGCTGTTTGCAATCTGATGGAAACGTTAAACGTTTTTATTTTCTCGATTTTCATTTTTTCTGTTTTTTTTTTCTGGTATATTATGATGAACATCTTACCTTATTTTTTTCTTGTTTATCATATATATGGCATAAGTTTGGTACATTATTGGTATATGTTTGGCAACAGTTTTTTATATATAGTGTATATGTCCAGTATTTTTTGCATATATTTTTCAGATCCAGGGTATATGTTTTTTGCAATTGGTTGGTATATGTTTTCTATATGTTTGGCATATTTGTGGTTTTTACGCTTGGTACGTGTGTGGTATATTCTCTGAAATACATTATCTATTCGTAGTATATGTTATGTATATGTGTAGTATATGCAATGTTTAGTTGATTTTCTCACAGTTATATGTGCGTATGCAATGTTTTTTTTTTTTCATTTTACAAATATGCATTAACCACAACATAAAAAATAAAAAATAAAAAATTAACAAGTAATAATAGGAAGAAACAATCAACTTTAAAAACCGTTCATAACATACATGATAGTGCAACAGGTTTCATCGTATTGGATTACGACAAGTTTTCACATTGTGCCCTTTCTCGTGATACTTACTGCATCTATTTTTTGATCTATGCTCCCATCCCTACTTGAATCGTTGTTTGCGTGGTCTCCCCGGCCTCACTCTTCCATCTGGGGGATTTACCAATCTAGGGACAGACGGTGCATCAAATTTGAAGGCTTGACTACCTTCTATTGGTATTACAGCTTCTTCATAAGTTGCCAACATAGAAGAGGTTAAGTAGTAATAAGAACAGAATGGCACCGGATCCAGGTGGAGTGACTTGATCACACGTATAGCATGCGGGCACGGCAGCTCGTCAACTTGAAAATGGTGGCACGTGCAAGTTTTTGATTCAATGTCTACTATAAATGACCTACCATTAGCCATCACTTTATACACTTTGTCACTGGCTTTTTGTACCTGTTAAACATATTAGTATATATTTTTTTATATTTGTTGGTATATGACATGAACATTATACAATAATAAACAAAAAAAAAAAAAAAAAATCCCACAACAATACAAATATATAAGCATAAGCACGTGGGATTACAGCACGTTTATGTGTTGTATATATTAGCATAAGCATAAATATATAATCGTGAACAGTTTGCCAGTATATGTATAGTATATAACGGCTATAATTCATTAATAAAATACTAAAATATAAATAACAACTCACCGAATATCTTGCTGCCATTTGGTAATTAGTTTCCAACCACCTATGTGGCTTCTTTGCAAGAGGAGTAAAAGTGGCCTTTGCTTCATCTCTATTTGCCACATTCCACCTTTGTTGCATATCTCTAAGCGCCTCTAGTAGTGGTGTTATCGGTAGATCACGGACGGATCGTATGGCAGCATTTATTGACTCCGCAGCGTTAGATGTCATGGAAAAATATCTATTACTGGGACAGTGAACCCTTGCCCACTTGTGAAATCCAATTTCTTTTAGATATGGTACCACATGAGGATTCAACTTATTTATCTGTGTTATATGCTTATCGAACTCCTCTAATGTGTAGGCCCTCGCAGCTGCATAAAACTCCTCCTTCACTGCCTGTGCTTCGGTCTTATAACGCATCTTCAATTTGTTTGAGATGTGATACGTGCACAGACAATGCGCCGCATTAGGGAATACCTATATAAATTAATTATAACATTTCAGAGATATGCAAATCAACTAATAAAATCCATTGGAGATTAGAAATCTGTAAAGATAAATTATATTACGTATAAAAAATAAAAACTACAATGTTACTGAACATATACTACTAGCTGGATAAAAAATTATTAAAAAATAGAAACGAGTAAAAAAATATCGAAGGTGAATATATTATATGTCATAGACACAATTATCCAAATGTTACAAAAAATATA